ATTTATTTGACAGAGAGAGACACAGCGAGAGAGGGAACACAAGCAGGGGGAGTGGGAAAGGGAGAAGCAGGCTTTCCACTGAGCAGGGAGCCCAATGCGGGGCTCGATCCCAGGACCCTGGGATCATGACCTGAGCCAAAGGCAGCCACTTAACGACTGAGCCACCCAGGCGCCCTAATTCCGTCATTTCTTATCAAAGGAAACATGCAACTGCCATACGAGCCAACAATCACACTCCTGGGCAGAGGGCAGAATTTCCAAAGACATGGAAACCTGACATTCACACAAACACCTGTGCATGAATATTTATGGTAGCTTTATGCATCATAGCCAAAATGTGTAAACGACCTAGATGTCCCTCAACAGGTGACTGTTGAACAAACTGTCATACATCCATACCGTGGACTACTGCTCAGCGATAAAACAGAATGAACTATGGATATATGTAAAAACTGGAATCAAATTTGATAGTATTATGCCGAGTGGGGAAAAAAAGCCAAACCCGAAGGTTACGTACTGTATGATTCCATTTAGAGGAGATTTGGAACTGACCAAAGTTTCGGAATGGAGGACAGATTAGACATTGTCAGGGGCTAAGGATGGGGTAGAGCAGGAGGCAGTAAAGATGGCAACAGAGGTGGTAACAGCGATGCTCTGTGTCTTGGCTGTGTGCTGCCCGCACGTGCCCTCACGTCCAAGGACACACACAGGCAAATGAGTGCAAGTCAAACTGGGAAAACACAAAGACTGGTGGATGATATCATGTCGATATCCTGGTTGTGAGATTGCCCGGCAGTGTTTCGAGATGTTATCATTGGGGGAAACTGGATAAAAGGTACAGGGGAATCTTTCTATATTATTTCTTACAACTGTGTGTGAATCTACGATTATCTCCAACTAAAAGTCAACAACCCTGCAAGTCAGAACTTCCTCCCTCCCCCTTCTTTTCCCCTCCCCCCACCCCCAGCTAGTTGTTGAACACTGACCAGGGCAGAATTGCTTCTCTTTGGAGAACGGGCTTCCTGTTAGGCAGATTCATGGTTTCTTCCCCGAGTGCCTCCCAGGAGACAAAGTCGGTGGCTGGGGGCAAGGGAAGAGCCTGCGGGCTTGGAGGGTGGCTTTACCTTCCTTGACTTCAGGTTTCCTCCCCTGTAAAATGGAGACAGGACTAGAGCAAAGGCAAATGAACACTTATGGAGAACCCACTTTTACCCATGTTACCTTCCTTCGTCCTCTCGGCTAGGCCAATGAGCCATGCATTAGGAGTCTCCAAGTTTCAGATGATGAGACAGGCCGAGAGACGTGCCTACCACAGAACGTGGCCGGGGTTGGAGTCCACAGTCCACACATGTTTGGATACTGCCAGCTGCCTGGAAGCCTATCCACTCTCTGACCCTAAACCCTACAAGGCGGCCTCTCCCAGTGGAAAGTGAGCTGGGCAGAGAATGTCTGAGCCTCTAAGTGCAAGTTGCGGGGGGAGGGCCGGGAGGGACGCAGCCTGCTCCCACCAAGCAGATATAGGAGCCGCAGACCTCACCGGGCCAGCTTCCCTCCACTGTGGAGCTAGCCGAGACAGCTGCTCATTTCCCCCTGGCTGGTGGTCCGTTCCCTACCATTGCCCGCAGTACGAAGACAAAACAACCCCAAATGCCCAGCACTCTGTCCTTAGGGACCAGGCAGGGGATCAGGGTCAGCAGCTGTGAGCCATGGGACTGTGGGTACGTACCACTGTGGATGACGCTGGCCGGAGCCATAACCCTGGTCCTGGGGCCAGGCCCGGCCCATGAGGAAAGGAAAGAAGTGTCTCCTTGGGTTGGAGATCACATCGCCCAACAGAGGCTTACCTTTCAACCCTTGGCGGTCTCCTTGGTGCTTTCCTCACAAACTCTAGAGGATGGACAAAGGCAAGGCCATTCAGTGGTTAGAGCCCTGGGCTGGAGGTCAGGCGACGTGGACTCCAGCCAGCCCTGTGACCTCCTCCAAGACTTTGGATGAGTCATGCTCCCCACTCTGGGATTCCATGTCCTCAACCATAAAACGAGGGGTTCGGATCTGGTGGTCCCCAAGGCCTCTCCAGGCCCTGCCAGTCCTCATATTCAAGGTTAGCTCCAAGGCGTGCACGCAGGGCCCACCAGATTCCACCACAGCTCACAAACATGATTGGAACAGAAGCCCTAGTCCGATTTCATTTTTCTTCCGAGGCTGTTTATTGCCTAACAAAATGTACTTAGTGGTAAATTCGTGACTGTGATGTTAAGTGTAGGCTACAAAGCCAGAAACAAATAAACAAACAAACAAACAAACAAAGGTGAGGGGAAGGGGTGGGGAGCACAAAGCCCGAAGAGGGAGGGCCGTCCAGAGGGTCGGGAAGCCTCGGATTCACGGGAGCGGCTCATACACACGAGCACTATTCCTTATTTATTCACATCCTCTGCCCTGTCTGGGTTCCGCGTGGTCTCCACTTCTTGTTAGCTTTTCAGCTGCACACCAGGCCCCAGCTGGCAGCGGCTAATTGCAATCAGCAGGTGAGAAATGTAGGTTCTCCGAAAAGGAATTATCTCCAGCGCTGGGAACCATTCTGGGAAATGTAACAGACCTGGGAAGAGAGGGGGAGATGTTTAAAACCTGAACTTCTGTGAAAAGCATTAATTGAAAAAGACAGCACCGCACACCAGGAACCCATGACTCGCTTGCCTGAAAATATAATGAAGCAACTTCGTGTGCAAGGGAAGACGGGGGAAGCATTTCCATTTCTGCAAAAGCAGCTCCTGCCTCGTGCACACAAGCCCTGCCTGCTCTTTTTTCCCAGGAGAGCCAGAGAGCACAAAGGTTTGCTCTTGGAGGTTCGTCTTTACCTTTACATTCTTCTGCAGCAGTAAAAGCACGGCGTCAAGCTAAGGACTTTTCATTATATTTATTTATTTATTTATTTATTTATTTATTTATTTATTTATTTATTTTAAAAGAAAAATGTAAGGCAATCCCCTGTGAAGTGGAATGACTTGAGAAAGCAAGTTCAAAATCGGGTGCGATCTCGGGGTTGCCAAACACACAGGTGTTCGCTCAAGCTTCGTGCCAAGGGAGGGGGTGCGGGAGGTGGGTGCAGCTACGACCCTAAAACGTGGTCTGGCTCCTTGGGGAAGCAAGCAAGCCGCAAGGCAAGGAGCAAGGTCCTGGTGGGGACTGTGATCTCGGCCCAGGCTGCTGGCCATCACTCCCGTCGGAAGCACCCGGGGACACGAGAAAGGCCCTCTAAGCACTTGCCTGCTCGCCTAGAGAATCGGCTTCTCTCTGTGCGTTATCAGCAGAGGGAATGAAAAGCGTACCAGAGGGGTGATTTGAATTTCATTTTCTCAATATGTGCCCCTGTGGGGAACGCTGCGTGGTGCTGCATGCTGATTCAAGGAAAACGGTCTCTGCTCCGCTGGGGTTGAAGGCTCGTCGTGAGTAGCTCGCCTTGCGCCGGGCGGTGGGGGCGCCCCAAGCACGGACTGAGGGATCCCAAGGCCTGTCTGGCCACCTTTACGGACAGGCCCCCCCAGCCCCTGCGGCCCGCCGGCTCACGTGTGAGAGGAGTGCGTGAATTTGGGGCTGCGACCCCTCCCCAGATCCTGTAGAAGGCAAGTGCGAAGATGTGGCATAAAACACAAAAGGCTCGCTCCCCACCAGCCCTGAATAAATGTTGACTGGGGTTTGGGGGCGGGTGGGTAGCTTTGTTTTCCCTTCCTTTTGGTTGTTTGTAAGATAAAGGGGAGGGAGAGGTTAGGCTCCGGAGCTGGGCTCTGAAGGAACCACAGTCCCTGGTGGGAGGTCAGACCAAGGACAGCTATGCCAGGGGGATCTTTGTCCACCTCCAAGAGCCCCTCCCGCAGTCCCCAGCCATTCGAAGGGCCCAAGGAATGTCAGAGGAGAGATTCAAGTCTCCAGGGGAGGAGATAAAGAGGCCTCAAGATCTTTCAGCCTTGGAGCCAAACCCCAGGCTTTGTGATCAAAAGACAAATAAACAGCCATTCCCACCGGGTCTCTCAAACCTGCTGAGCGGCACAAATGTTTCCTCCTTATAAACAAGCGTACCTGAAGAAGGTGAAAAAAACCAGACCCTGAAATCCCACACAGTTTTTGGCAGACCCCTTAGGAGAAACGGCTGCAGGCAGCTTTATCAAGTGCCTTTCTCACATCACTCTGAAATAAGATGTCAAAGTTTGAACATAAACCATGAACAAACAAAATCAGCCCTGTTCCTCATACCAGTTCTCCCATCCTGACACAGGGAAGGTTGAAATAGAGCTGCAGAATTCGAGGCCGCTGGAACGATCTGAGAGAGGCCAGTGGGTCTTGGAGGTAAGCAGGGAGAGGAGGCCACCCGTGGCCTCCTTTCAACAAACATGGGGCCCTGTACCGCTGAGATGCACATGCCTAGGGGGCCCTAGTCCCACCGGTGTCCATGGAGTTGTGTTTCCAGAGGTGTCAATGGCCAAGACAAATGCCCTAAGGAGCACCCACTATGAGCCACCATTTGGGATACAACGCTGTCCAAACAGAGCAGGTCTCTGCCCCTAAGCTTCCGTTCTAATTAGTAAATTAAGCAGCATGTGAGTAGGTGATACATGCCAGAGCAAGAATACATCCAGGAGAGGGGGAGCCTGGGTGGCTCAGTCAGTTAAGTGTCCAACTCTTGATTTCGGTTCCGGTCATGATCTCAAGGTCGTGAGAGTCGGGCTCCATGCTCAGCAGGGAGTCTGCTTGAGATTCCCTCTCTCTCTCTCTCTCTCCCTTTCCCCTCCCCCTCAAATAAATAAATAAATAAAATCTTTTTTAAAAAAAGAATACATCCAGGAGAGGGTTGGAGAACAGGAGAGGGCTGTGGTTTATAGTGGGGTGGAGGGAAGGCCTCACTGAGATGAAGTGACTTCTGAGCAAAGATGAAGGAGTGAGCCCTTCTAGGAGGCGCTCTGAGGGAAGGAGGACCCAAGTAGAGGGTACGGTAAATGCCAGTGTCCTGAGGTCGAAGCGAGCCTGGCAGAGGCAAAGGGCACCATGGGAGCCAGTGGAGTTGAAATGGAAACACAAAGGGTCTCTGCAGATCCTTACTGCAGTACAGAGTCACAGAACATCAGAGCCAGTGCCCCAAGTCACCTCATCAGCCTGTTCTGTTGGGCTGTCATCTCAAGAGCCACCTCTAGGGGCCTATGGGACTCCCTGGCTCTCCATTAACTACCACCTAGTCCCTGATAGGGTCCTGTTCAGTTACTAACGAGCTAGAGGGGAAGCCCCACCCCCTGACTTCCTGGACGTCAAAGCTCCCAATGCTTCAACTTCCTGGAGACAGACGTGGAGGAAGAGGGAGGGGGATTTGAAAGTGTCCCTCACCACCCCCCGCCCCCTGGGTCCCCTACAAAAGGTGTCACCATACGCTGAGTGATTCAATAAAAGTTTGGTTGACCCTTCCCCACCACCTTTCCCCCAGGAAGAGTGGAGAAGCCTCTGGAGAGACTTAGTTGTGTCCTGGACTCATCTGATTTCTCAGAATCTCTTGCACAAGACCCAGTGTCTATCACACTGATATACTTTGCCCTGGCTCAAAGAGTGATGCAAGTAGGGTCTACCCTACACCAAGGAAGCTGCGGCTCTGGGCTAGTCCAAGCACTTTGATGACAAATTCTTGGCTCGATGCCCTGAGGATTTCCTTGGTCAGAACCTCCCTGCTTGCTTTTCAGCATTTATCAACATAGGCATTGTGACACGCAGACAGAGCCTCGAAGCAGGGTGACCCCGGAAGCAGGGAGCTCATTCTGGAAGCCCAGGGACCTGGGTTCTGCAGCAAGGCTATGTGCCTGGAGGTTGGGGTTTGGCCAGAAGCAGGTCAGAAGGTCTGCGGCTATGGAGTAAGGGCCCTGTGATAGGGCAGAACACTCCACAGCTGTGGGACCTGTCGAGCAGTCTATGTAGGTCTGCTGTGTAGAGCCTGAAGACAGCAGTACAAGCAGTCAGGAGGGAGAGATGGACATGAAGCGGGGGAGAACAAGGACAGACTGGAGGCCAGCTGGACAGATGGGAGCCTTCCCAGTTTCTCACAGCCTCCAACTTCACAGACGCAGGGGACCTACAAGCCAGGTGGGGGGCCCTCCAGCACTCAGCCGCACACCCAGCAGCCCCGGAGCTCAGAGAAGCCCAGGGAAGGGGACCAGTGGTGCTGGAGGGGCTGCGGGCCCAACTGCCACCCACGCCAATGAGATGAGAGGGTGGATGGGTGACACGTGTGAGCTGGGACAGTGCCTGCCCTCCTCCGACGGTCGAACCACAGAAATGGCTGCTTCTTCACTTCCACCTTCCACATCTCACACAAATTTCTCTTCTGGCCAACCCTGACCATGGAGGGTAAAGAAAAGAATTCTGTGAAATGTCGTTCCCGCTTAACTACTACGGTACAAATCCACCCCTATGATTTTGACCTCAGGCCTCAGCTTCCTCACCCCCAACATCTAGGGGTTGGCCTGAAGGAAACTGTTGGGAGCATCCATGTTACAGTAACGATTTCTTTTTCCCCCTCACTGGCAAACCAGCGAGGGCAGCACATCATGCCATGTCAACTTGCATTGCGCACAGAGGTGCCAGGAGAGCCCAGATGCTGTTGCAACATTGGGAGTCTCCACTGGCTGGACTGAGTCCAGAGTCTCAGCCTTAATCCTCAGAGGAACTCCATGTTCTGTGGGCACACACACTGCCTCATTTCCCACCTTATCATAGGTCTGCAGGAGTGAGACATTATCCATCGGTCTTCCCCAGTAGTAAACCTCAAATCCAGCATGCTGTTGGACTCACACCAGTCACCTGCTGAGGTGGTGGCAGCAGGTGATGAAGCCCATGCTCCATCTCTAGTACTCAAGCTGAGAAGTCCCAGAAGGTTGCAGAAAGATTTTTAGGCAGCACACAGTTCAATTAACAATCTGGACCCAAACATTGTCTCTAGGAGTTCAGCTTCCAGGTGATTCCAGAAAACTCTAACACAACCTAATGAAAATCTTTCTCAGCAAATAAATGTGAGCATTGTAATCTATGAAGAGCTTTTGACAAAATATGCTCTTTGTGGACTCTGTTCTTAGGTACTGCAAGGTATGGGAGGGGACAAAGAGATAGAAATGCAGAAAGGAAATGGAAAAAAATTAAATTGTATAGAAAGATTTATGACCAAAGAAATGAAGAGGGGTAAAAACACAGCTGTTCAAGAGAAGGGAGGCTGGAAGGATCTTCTTTGAAATTCCATGAATTTGGGAAATCATCAACAAAATCTAAAGCTAGAGGCTCCCATGTCAGCACCTGCAAGGTGCAAAGAAAGGAAGGAAAGGAAAATGCCAGAAGTAATACCTTAGTTCAGAATACCTCATGAAAGAAAGAACTTTTATTATGGGACAGAGTGGGTGCAACACTGAATGAGACTATGGTCCTGAAGTTACACCCTCTAGATTTGTGCCTTGCACCATGTCTGCCTGTGGGGGAGGAAAAGTCACTTTCCCTCTACCCTTCTAGGTTCTTGGCTGAGACACCACCCCCCGCCCCAGCCATATAAAAGACTAAGAGGAGAAAAACAAATAGATGTTTAATAATATGCATACCTTCCATGTACATGGGAAACACCCAGGAAAACAGACTAACTCCAAACTGGCCCAAGCCACCCTCTTAAATACCATCTCCAGCTAAGGACCAGAGAAGATGTTGGGGGAGGGGAGGCTGGTTATGGGAGGTTTCTGGGCAAAGCATAGTAATCAAGAGTAAAGGTGTTATGCAGACTTAGGTCATGACCTTCTCCACTGATCAGAGTTTCTAGAGATTGAGTCATCCTGGCACAGAGAGGGAGACATCCTTACAAATGGAGAGTTCCCTTATACATGTAATTTTCTCTTACAAAAGGTTAACTTGTACTCAGTTTTCTGAAGTTTTCCCCAAGTCTGCTGTTCCTTAAAAATAATCAGCCTAAAATAATCTTTATGCCAAAGAGGCGTATTTTGAGGTGACAAATTCTGCCCCTGCCCAGCTGGAGCATGTGTATGTCTCGTGTGGAGTGAGGTGGCTCAGACCCCAGCCAGGGAGCCTCCAAGGTGCAAAGGCCAGTCAGCAGGAGGGGCCAGCACAGCTGTAAGGGTGTGACCTGCGGAAGAAGAGACATTGAAGTCTTAAAAGTGGGAAAGGACTTATGTCCACACAAAACCTGGCATGCAGATATTTATAGTAGCTTTATTCATAATTGCCAAAGCTCGGAAACAACCAAGATGTCTTCGGTAGGTGAATGGGTCAATCAACTGTGGTCCATCCAGACAGTGGAATATGATTCAGCACTAAAAAGAAATGAGCTATCAAGCCACAAAAAGACAAGGAGGAAACTTAAATGCATGTTACTAAGTGAAAGAAGCCAATCTAAAAAGGCTACATGTGGCATGATTCCAATTGTATGACATTCTAGAAAAGGCAGAACTCTGGAGACAGTAAATAGTGGAGTGGTTGTGGGCAGCTGGGGAAGTAGGGGAGGGAAGCATAGGTGAAGCACAGAAGATTTTTAGGGCAGTGAAAATAGTCTGTATGATATTATAATGGTGGATACACATCATTACATTTGTCCAAATCCATAGAATGTCCAACAGCAAGGGTGAGCCCTAATGTAACCTATGGACCCTGGGTGATAATGATGTACCAGTGTAGGTACATCAACTATAACAAATGTACGTTCCAGTGGGGATGTTGATAAGGGGGAGGCTGTGCATGTGCTGGGGGAGGGGGTATCTGGGAAATCTCTCTACCTTCTCCTTCATTTTTTCTGTGAATCTAAAACCTAGAGGAGAACACAAGCAGCAACCTCTCTTACCTCGGCCACAGCAACTTCTTGTTAGACACGTCTCCAAAGGCAAGGGAAACAAAAGCAAAAATGAACTATCGGGACTTCATCAGGATAAAGCCCTTCTGCACAGCAAAGGAAACAGTCAACAAAACTAAAAGGCAACCTACGGAATGGGAGAAGATATTTGCAAATGACTTATCAGTTAAAGAGCTATTATCCAAAATCTATAAAGAACTTATCAAACTCAATACCCAAAAAACAAATAATCCAGTCAAGAAATGGGCGGAAGCCATGAACAGACATTTCTCCAAAAAAGACATACAAATGGCCAACAGACATATGAAAAAATGCTTAACATCACTCAGCATCAGGGAAATACAAATCAAAACCACAATGAGATACCACCTCACACCAGTTAGAATGGCTAAAATTAACAAGTCAGGAAACAACAAATGTTGGTGAGGATACAGAGAAAGGGGAACCCTCCTACACTGTTGGTGGGAATGCAAACTGGTGCAGCCACTCTGGAAAACAGTATGGAAGTTCCTCAGAAAGTTAAAAATAGAGCTGCCCTATGACCCAACAATGGCACTACTAGGTATTTATCCAAAGGATAGAAACATAGTGATCTGAAGGGGCACGTGCACACCAATGTTTAATAGGCCAAACTGTGGAAAGAGCCCAGATGTCCGTTGATAGATAAATGGATAAAGAAGATGTGGTATGTATATACACAGTGGAATACTACTTGGCCATGAAAAAGAAAGAAATCTTGCCATTTGCAACAATGTGGATGGAACTAGAGGGAATTATGCTAAGTGAAATAAGTCAGTGAGAGAAAGAAAAATACCATATGATTTCACTCATATGTGGAATTTAAGAAACAAAACAGATGAACATAGGAGAAGGAAAGGAAAAATAAAATAAGATGAAAACAGAGAGGGAGGCAAACCATAAGAGACTCTTAACTGTAGGAAACAAACTGAGGGTTGCTGGAGGGGAGGGGGCTGAGGGGATGGGGTAACAGGGTGATGGGCATTAAGGAGGGCTCTTGAAGTAATGAGCACTGGGTATCATATGCAACTGATGAATCACTAAATTCTACCCCTGAAACTAATAATACACTATATGTTAACTAAATTGAATTTAAATTAAAAATTAAAAAATTAAATAAAATAAAACTGCTCTAAAAAATTAGAGTCTTTTTAAAAAGTAGGAGAGGAAACCGAATCTGAGGTTCCTTAACATTCAGCATATCAAAAATGAAGGTTTAGAAACTAAATCGTACTTTGGTTAGCGAATCATAACATTCTTCCTGAATCCTCTCGATGGTTCAGTGCAAACACGGCTCAGGTCTCCCATTATTCTGCAGACATAAAAGTTAGGCCCAGGACTCTCTAGGGGCAGGAATGACCTAAATTATAATTTAGCCTGTAATACCTTTGTCTAGTGCAGGGTTGGCAAACTTTCTCTGTATATGGCCAGATAGTAAATATTTTAGGCTTTGCGGGCCATATGGTCTCTGCTTCAACTACTACTCCACTGCTGTAGCATGGTTGTGTCCAGTAAAACTTTATTTACAAAAACAAGCATAGGCTGGACTTGTCCTCAGGACTGTAATTTGCTGGTCTAGTATGTTCCTAGAAAGTTGGGCTTGCCTATGCTCAAAGTATGCGCAAACTGATTGTTGAAATTATGCGTTACATATAAATTATACGTGTTCTAACACAGAGAAGGAGGAATTAAGGAAAACAGTGACACAAGAGAAGAAAGGAAGCTGATTTTTGTTTCATAAGCCAGGGGGAGAAGAATGCAGAGAAGAGCCAGGAGGAGGAGGAGGAAGGAAGCAAAGCGGGTCTTGCTGGGGGCGGCACACACTCGGAGGAATGCAAGACAAACAGAGAATACGAGAGCAGAGCTCAAGGGACTCCAACTCCAGGCCATTCTCTGCCCTTCTGTCATTCTGCCCAATCCCCAAATCCTCACAATCCGGAGCCAGGCAGGAAAGGAAGGCACAGCAGGCTCTGGTGGGTGAGCAGGGGTGGGGATGGCAGTCACTCTGGGGGTGTCTCTCCGTGAGGACAGATCCCTATCTTCTTCCTACAACACATTATGCCGAAAACAGCTAAACTTGAGCTTAAATAAACAATTTAATCAGCAGCCCCGTTTCCTTTTATCACCCAATCTCCCGGCTAGACGGACTAATTATTTTCCATCTCCTAACCGCTGGACTGTTAAGTATCATCTGAAGCAAACAGAATACCAGGCATTGCTGAATGCCATCGCAGCCCAAGCCCTGCACTAACGGGATTCCCACGGTGGCTGCATTTTTAAAGACCCTGCAACTAAATAAACATGGCTCTGGGAATGACTGCTGTAAAGAAGTACTTTGTTGTGCGGGGAGGGAGAGAAGGCTTTTTCATCAGAAAACACGGCCAGTGTTCTGATCATTAGCAAAGAAAACAAGATACAGGTCGGATTGTAAGCAATCCCATCACCACTTCAAAGAGGGAGAATATTTCTAGATCATCTAGATCCTGATGAGTGCCGCATTTCGAATTCTCTGGGCCTTACTTCCCCACCTGTAATATGGAGCTCGTGATGTTTACCACGGGGAGGTGTTCTGCAGAATAAATCAGATAATGCAGCTAACCGGGCTCTCGGCCTATAGTGGGTGCTTTCTAAACAAGAGGTCACCTGATGTTATCAATGACTGATATCTATAACACAATTCTGGCACAAAGAAGATCATGCCAACCCTGTGGGGAGAATTGTAGTCATGAAAACAGATGGTTTCCTTGCTCTTTATCAAGCTTCCCGTGGTCTGTGTCTTCTACAGAGCAGCTCCCCTGAAATGGGCTCCTGGCCAGGGTAGACATTACTTACATTCGAGAAAAGGCGCTGTGGTGGACCCCACCCCTTGGCTGCCATCCCACCTCCAAGGCCGTGTGGAATTACGGAAGTAGATAGGAGTCAGGATAAGTGGAGACTTAAAGCCTTCTGGGTAATCAGACAATGCCATCCACTGAATCACAGGTTTCTTTTGGCAGGTGTACAGAGGGAACACCCTTCCTGTCGCTGTAGCCCTTCCCCAGTCCACGGCCTCTCCCTGCCTGGGCTCCAGCCCCCCGCCGGCTGATGTCCCTCACACGCAGTCCACCCATGTGGCTGGCGGGGAGGGGTACGACTTACCTCACAACCAAGGCCTTTTCTGGTCCCCGCATCACTGGCTGTCCATCCCCACAGCCCCTCCGCAGGCACGTCAGGCCTCACGGGAACTCTGGCAGTTGCCTCCCAGCTGTTCCCTGTGACCTTAACCTCGGCCGCCTCCAGTCCCTCCTCTGCACGTGACCAGGAGGCTTGCTCCAAAGACCCAGATCTGCTCCTGGCACCACACTGCTGAACAGCCAGGACATGTAGAACAAATTTCACCCTCTTCAGCAGGATCTAGAAGGCCTGTTCCAACCTGGTGCCAGCCTACCTACCCCGGGCAGCCTCACCTTCAGGCCTGTACTCTTGCCCTTCTCTCTGCTTTGCATGCCCACCCCCTTCCATCCTGAGCTTGTCCAACTTCTGCTCAACCTTCAGCCTCTAGCTCAAACACGACCTTGTTTCTGACATCCCCATGTCAGACAAACACCAACCGCCCCCTCTTCTGTATTCCTGTAATAACTTGTATGTCACTCCCTTCTGGTACTTTCCAAACATTAGTATAACTAGTTGTAGATGGTTTGTGTTTGGCTGTAGCCTCGATGAGGGCACGAGCTATAACTTATTCATTTTGGTCTTTCTAGCACTCAACCCACCACCTGACATGGAGTAGTCAGTGTGCTTTGCTAATAGAATAGAATGAATTCAAAGAGCAAATGCTGTGGGTTTGGCAGGGCAGGAGTGGCTGATGCAGGCAAGACGCAAGAAATCCAGAGGCACCACCAAGGGATTCTACTATATTTCTTCATTAATGGTTTTAAATTCTTCTTAGGATCGCCTTTGGAGAATTAGCCAACCTTTACTGCTACTCGCTCCCTCTTCTACCAAATCGATAACCATCTCTATTCTCAGAGCTGTCAGTCATCCTGTATTTACGATTTTAAACCCTAGTTATAATCCATCCCTTGACCATGTTTTGCTCAGCATCCACAAAGCTCAGGAGGCTCTGTCTTTTCAGACTCTGCCTTGCCAACCCTCACTACCCTCCACCATCTGCAACAGCCTTATTATCAGTAGTTTGCATAGATGAAGTCAAGAGACTCCCCATTTCACTACGAGGATTTTCTAGGGGCTCACAAGGACAGCCTCCCGAGTAACCCTTTTGCTGTTTCTTGCCCTGAAGCCCAAGGGTAAGCTCCACGCTCCGTGGCAGGGGATGTAAGCTCTTCCACACCCTGACTCCCCTCCTGCCTTCTCCTCTCACCACTGCCACCCACCTCTGGTTGGGACCACCCTGGGCTTCACTGCTGTTCTGGAAGCCGGCCAGGCTCTATGGTGCTGCGTGGCTCTCCAACGTGCCATTCCTGGAATGCTTTTCCTTCCTCCTCCATCTGGTGAACTTCCAGTCATCCTTCAAGGTCCATTGCCTCTTGCCTCTTCAGATGCAGAAGCATCTTTTCTGCCAATACTCTTCCCCCTCCTACGTGGGAAAGCACTACAAGTAGGCTTTCATGATGGGATCCTCCCTACTTCTATTTTTTTTTTCTTTTCCCATCTTTCTAATTTAATTTAATTTTTGGATATCAAGGGCAATCACTGGATTACTTATAATTACTGGTGAATGACTTACTCTCATCATTGGCTCATGCACACTCCATAAGCACTAGCAAAGCCATTACCCAAAACAAAAGCTAGGCAGGACCGTGATCATAGCCTACACATCGTCCCCCATGCCCATTAATCCATGCCTTTGACTCCCCGTTTGACAGGGTTTATCATACTTTTGAACCATATATTCATCATCCTAATTCTTTCCTTTTTATATAGTTTTACTGCAGCTACATACATTCTTTTAAAATTAAAATACCTTATTTTAGTTGTTCCTAACTTCAACAAAAAGGAACATTCTGCATGTAATCTTTCGGAGTTTATTTTTTTTCAGATTTTGCACAGCTAAGATGTATCCCTATTTTTCTATGTCACTGTCACTCACTTAGTCTCCTCTGTAATTTTCTATGGTGTGTATATGCCACAATTTATTCCTCCACTCACCTTTTGGTGGGCATTTGGCTTGGGATAGGGTTGCCAGATTTAGCAAGTAAAAAATATAGGACACCCAGTTAAATTTGATTTTAAGACCATTTTTTAAGGATAAATATGTCCATGAAATATTTGAGACATGCTTATTACCAAAAAATACTCATTGCTTGTCTGAAATTCAAATTTAACTGGCCATCCTGTATTTAATCTGGCAGCCCTAGTTTGGAAACGAAGCTGCTATGAACATTTCTCTACGTGTCTTCCATTGGACAGGCCAAGGTTTCTCTTGGGTCTTTTCCTAGGTGTGTGAATCCCAACTTACGAGATTAACACCAAACTGCTTTCTTAAATGACAGCTCTCGATTCTTGAGCCCCATCTCCTATTTTAAGAATAGAAAAGGTGTCAGAGTGTGGGAAGAGAGGATTGTATGTGAGGAGATTGGTGAAGAGCCATAGCTCCACAGTGAATGCCCCCTTCTCTTCCTTTTAAGGCGGAGGTTGGGGGTTACTCTTTAACTCCAAGCCTGGTGAGGGCCTTCAAGATGTTTTGCAATATGTTCCCTGCAGGTGGGAGACCCAGGGCAGCTCACCTATGCCCGTGAAAGCTAAAGCAGACTATGGGTTGGGTTTTGCTTTCAGACCATGCCTCCAGAGGCCATGTGTGTGTGTGTGGGGGGACAGAAGGGCCATTAGGTGCTTTCATGGCCAAGTCAGTAGAGACTTGGGGTGACCCTGGACTCCCAGGCTATATTGGGACAAGAGATGCAAGAGTGTGACCCACAGACTTGAAGTAGCCACAGAAGAGAGAGAGCTGATGTGGAGCCAGCTTGGATCCTGGGCGGTAGTGCAAGGTAATCCCAGCTGAAGGAGGCTAGAGATAATCTTGCCAGCTCGCTAGCTCAAGAGCAGCCTAGACCACCACCCTTCATGGTGACCTATCAGCCCAAGGTCAAGAGAACTGGAGAGAGGTCTCCAGCCATGAGACCCTCTGAAGGGCCAAAGAGAACACCTCAGGAGGGGAAAAGCTGGCTTTATTCATCTTCCATGCCACTCCAGGGCCCCAGCTCTAACCACCTGAAAATGAGACCCAGGAAGGGCAATGGCGCCGCCAAGTTGGAGCTGTCTGCTTCCCGGCCTCTCCTCCCTCTCCCCATGCCAACGGTGGCTGCGGCAAAATGGCCCCCAATAAATGGAGGTGGTGAGCAGCGACAAAGGAGAAGTTCCACTCCCCACCCAACCTCCCTGTTGCAGCCTTTCTGCCTAAAGGGGGCCTGAGGCACGCAGGGAAAAAACTGAATGCCAAGCCAAGCTCGGAGTTTTGACTTTTCACATCTTGGATGGGACCTTCGAATTGCTCAGCTGTGAACTGAAGTGACCGTAACAATCTATTACCTAACAATAAACAGAAATAAGACCTGCTTAGTTTGCATTCAGGTTTTAGAGAAGATGACCCTCCCTGAATCAAGTCAAACAATCAAGTGCTGCTTTGTTCATGGCAGAAGCTATGCTTATCTGCCTACTAGTTACACAGGCATGTCCTGATTGATGCATATTCACCTCACACATACATTCAGTCACATCCAGCCAGCCACACTGGACAACCTAACCAGCCAAGAGATCAAAGGGTTTCCTTCCCTCCCAGCCTCCTGGCGCTCCTTCCCCTTTCCACTTCTCTCCCTCCCCTCCTCCCCGCTCTCTCTGTCTTTCCCTCTTTCCCTCTCCCTCACTCTCCTGTTCTCTTTTCACTGCTCTCTGTAAAGCCTACTGCATGTTGATATTCTCAGTCTCTGGGTCCTCCTCCTCCAAATCCCAGGATCTTGGTCCTCACTTTATAAGGAAAGTAGGTGGTAGGGAAATAGGAGACTTGCCTGGCAGGTGATAGAATCACAATGATCCAACAGGATGTGAGCATCCTAATAACAAGTAGACTATCACAGATGAGGGTTTGGAAGTGGATTGTCATCCTGCTGGACACTGAGTTCTTCAGGAACAGAAACTATGTCTTATTTGCTTCGGTGCCTCTAGCAGCAAGCCCAGTGTCCTGAACACAGTAGCCCTTAACCAGAGTTTATTGGAAGGATGAGCAAGTGAATGAATAAATGAATGGGTAAATGGATTTAACAAAAGGCCACAAGGATCAGCATTTGGTCACATCTATTTCAAGTAGTATCCCCAACGATGAAGATAAAAGGTCAGTATCTAGCAAATTTGTGGTGACCAAAGCTGGGAAGAAGCCATAACATACTAGATGACAGACTCAGGACTCAAGATCTCAACTGGATGGGCAGAATGGGTAAAAGAAACAAGATGAAATTCAATAAAGATAAATGTAACCATCTTCACTGGATTCAAATGGTCAACGGCCCCAGTTCAGGAAACTCAGCTCCCTTTGAAAATCCCCTGGGAATTTTTTGGTTCACGATGAATCCAGCAAAACCAGCAAAACATGGATGCCAATACAGACATTCAGAACCAGGCTTGGGCAGGCCATATCAGAGAAGGCTAGGGAAAGGAGGACACTGCTAAATAGAGCGTGTCGGAGCCTGATGACCAGGAAGGTGAGGGATTTGGAAACTTCAATATATAAGAAATAATTGAAGAAATGGGACATTTGTGCCTGGAGATCAGAAATAAGGAGTCAACAAGAATGGCTTTAAATTGGTTGAGGAGCCATACTGTAGGTGAGGAGTTAGTTTTAGAAGGCAGTGCCACAGGAGAATTACAGAAGGGTAATATGTAGCTGAAGATCCATCAGAACCCGGTCTCAGAACATCCCAACTACAGAACAGGCTACTCTGTGAGGCAGGAGCACTCCCACTCACCTTAGGAAGTCCAAAAGAAGTTCAAGAGTGATCTCCAAGGGTCTGTGCAGGCCCTGGCCTCCCGAGTCCCTTTTGGTCTTGATATGCTGGGATTCCACCTTGGGTTCATTAGGTAAAGCCTGTCTGAATTCAGGAAGCAGGTGGATTACAGAGTGAAGTTTTGGCGTATAGAGATACCAGTTATATCTGAAGCCAAGTAAATAGTGTGGTCTGATGAGAGGCTTTGGGGGCCAAATAAAATGGAGATGAGCCAGGACCAAAATTAGTTAGGTGCCACTAT